AGGAAAGCAGAAAGCTGGGAAACAATTTTTACAACAAATATCTCTGATAAAAGCCTCATTTCTCAAATATACAGAGAACTGAGTCAAATTTATAAGAATACAAGTCATTCCACAATTGATAAATGGTCAAAGGATATGAACAGGAAGTTTTCAGACAAAGAAATCAAAGCTATCAATAGTCATGTGAAAAAATGCTCTAAATCACTATGATTAGAGCAGAAGTGGGCAACTTGTGGCTTCACAGCCACATATGGCCCTCTAGGTCCTCAAGTGTGGCCGTTTCACTGAATCCAAACTTAATAAAAGGATTTGTTCTGTGAAAATACTTAGCGCCCTGGCTGTTCAGTCATTTCATTCATTTCTGACTCTTTGTGACTCTATTTGGGGTTTTCCTGGCAAAGATACTGGAATGGTTTGCCATTTCCTTTTCCAGATCATTTTACAGATGAGAAAACTGAGGCAAACAGGGTAAAATGACTGGTCCAGGGTCATATAGCTATTAAGTGTCTGAGGCAAGATTTGAACTCAAGATGAGTGTTCCTGACTCCAGTCCCAGCACTCTGTCCATTGTGTCACCTAGCTGCTCCCCAAAAGTATCTACTACATATCAACTGCTTAATGCAAAAAGTAGGACAGATTCCTAAATATGGTATTAAGAGCTTTGTAATAAACTGTTAAATTCAGTGATAAACATAGCAAATATTAAATGGCCTTTCTCTCTCTACTTGAACATTTTCAATGAAAAGGAAACGCCTTCCTTCCTAAGTTAGGGAGCACTTGGATTTCATGGCTTTTGTTGAATCTTGTGTAACTTACTCTTCTCTGCTCAACAGTGCTCTAACCTACTGCCTACTTCTGTGTCTTCAGCCTAGACAGTCTGAGAATTCACACAGGTAAGAATTTTCTCTTCCTTGGATAGCTCATCATTCTCATGATTTCCAACTACTGCCTCTATGCTGATGACTTCCAATTTTATATCTCCAGCCCTGATATCTCATAAGAGACAGGAACAGATCCCCTTGTGTATATAGTACTGTTATATCACTGAAAGTAATGATGGGTTGGTCATGTCTTGAAAGTGAGGGAAACTGATAGATAGCTTTCGTGATCTACTGGTATCAAGCAGAATATGAAGAAAACTCAAGGAAGGTTCCTAACATGTTGGGTTGACCCTCTATGGTGAATTTATGTGAAGACATGGACAAAAGTTGTAGAGGATGCCATGGTAGGAGCGATATCCTAACTCCATCCTTCCATGCAAGCTAAGTAGGAAAACTGCCCTAATGTCCTTGAGATTTGATTCATTCAGGGGACTTGGGCTTGGGACCTTGGCATGGCTTCCTGGTCACCTAAGTACAAAACCAGGCAGGGCACAAGAGACTGGAATCCCTCCCTCCCTTCCTGAGGTTCCTGATGGTAGATTAGCAGCAAGAAAAATACTGGGAAGCTGAGTGACTGAATCAAGGCTTTATCCTGGATTAATACCTTCACTTTTCTGAACTTCCTTTCCCTGCTGTGGCTATGGAAATATACTTTTGTTAATGGTTATAAATATATTACCAGTGACTCATTTCATTCCAATTTCAAATCTAAACTACCAGGGAAGCAGCCTGAGTTAGGTCTAGCCCATTATAGGCATGATTTGCATCACTGGAAGGAATCCCTACATCAATAAGATCTCATCAGCAAAAGCAGCAGACATTTGACTGTTCTGAGTCATTTGGTGGTAGGTGGAGGACCAGCCATGCTTCTTTCTGCCTGGGGCAGCCCCTAGGTTAGGGAATCCTATGGCTCTATATATTCTGATCAGAACTCTCACACTGACCTCCACCACTCATGTAAAAATTAATTCAGCTCATCGAGAGAAAGAAAAAAGAGCCAGCAAGCCAGTGTGAGTGGCTACACTGAGATAGAAAGAAAAGTCAAGGGATGGGAAGGGGCACACCACCAGAGTCCCTGTAACAGAATCAGAATCTTTGGTATGAGCCTGTTGGTGTCTGCGCACTGTACCAGAGCACGCTGGTGGGAGAGTTATGCTGACTGAATGCCCTATGGATTACCACTCCCCGTGGTTGATTAATCAAGTTATCACAGGCATACCTCATTTTATTGTGCTTTGCAGGTATTAACATTTTTTACAAATTGAAGGTATGTGGCAACCCTGCATCAAGGAAGTCTATTGGCCCCGTTTTTCCAGCAGTTTGTGCTCACATTGTGTCTGTGTCACATTTTGGTAATTCTTGTAATATTTCAAACTTTTTCATTATTATTATATCTGTTATGGTAATCTGTGATCAGTGATCTTTGATGTTACTATTGTGATTGTTTTGGGGCTCCATGAACTTCACCCATATAAAATGGTGAAATTAATCAATAAATGTTGTGTGTTCTTATTGCTTCCCCCAATCCCATCTCTCTCCTTCTCCTCAGGCCTCCTTTGTTTCTACAGACACAATATTGAAATTAGGCCAACTAATAGTCCTAAATGGCCTCTAAATGTTTAAGTGAAAAGAAGAGTCAATAACTGTGGCAAACTTCACTGTTTGTCTCATTTTAAGAAATTGCTACAGCTACCCCAACCTTCAGCAATCACCACCCTGTAGTCAGCAGCCACCAACATCGAGGCAAGACCTTCTACCAGCAAAAAGATTATGACTTGCTGAAGGCTCAGATGATAGTTAGCATTTTTTAGCAATAAAGTATTTTTACTTAAGGTACGTACATTGTTTTTTTTAGACATAATACTACTGCACATGTAATAGACTACAGCATAGTATAAACATAACTTATAAGCACTGAGAAATCAAAAAATTTGTGTGATTCTCTTTATGGCCATATTTGCTTTATTGCAGTGGTCTGGAACTGAATTTGCACTGTCTCCAAGGTATGCCTGTACCTTGTTGAGAAAGGGTAGACAATTTCATTGCCTGAGGCTCCGCTCACAATCCCTGTGACTCTCTGCGTCATGACACCCTTCTAGGGCTCTCACACCACTCTATACGTTCCCTATTAGAATGTAAGCATATTGAGGACACGGGCTATCTTTGTATCCCTGCCATCTATCACAATGCCTGACACACATAGTAAGCACTTCCTTGTCCTGCCGGTTCAGTTGTAATTATCTATGTCTGGTGCATGACTTCTCTTTTAGATTTTTTTTTTTAAGTTATTGGCGACCAGGGAAAATGGTTCATTCACCGTCTTCTTAGTCACATTACTAGACCCTTTCCCTGCAAGGCTTCATAATGTCAATTGCATCAAGTCTAAGTTCCACTCAGTGCCCTCACTTGCCCCATCTAGCTGTTACTTACAGGTGCTCCCTTCCTCCTTTTATGCTTTATCTACAGATGTTCCCAATAAGGTCTCTCCCTTCACCGTCCTCTAGGCATTCTATACTTAGTTCTGTTTTATGCCTTTGTTCATGCTATTGCCTATGGCTGGAATGTCCTCTTTCTAATAGATGTTACTCATGCCTGAAAGTCCAGCTCTAATTCTCTCTCCTTAATGAAACCTTTCTTGGCTTTTTGGGACCACAGATTTCTCCCTACCTGTCTGAAACCCAACATATAATGAATGTCCTGCAGTATTTTCTAATTTTCTCATGGGTATATTGTCTCACCAATAGGAATGTAACTTCCTTGAAAGGAGATCTACCTAGAGGTTCTGTGGTATAAGGTAAAGGGCAGGGGCTCTTGAGTCAGAGGGAATGGGTTCAAATTCTCTTTCTGACCCTTCCTACTTGGGTGACCTTGGACAAATTACATAACTCCTCTGGGTCTCAGTTCCTTTACCTCTAAAATGAGTAAGTTGGACTTATGGTCTCCTATAGAGCTATGACCTCATACTTACTTTGTATCTCCCATAGTATATACTAGCGCTAGGCACACAATAAGTGCTTAATAAATACTTGTTGGATTTAATTATAATCTCAGGAAATCACATCCCTTAACAATTGCAAAAGTTGCTAGTTTTTTGAAAGATGCTGAGAATTGATCTTGCCTTTCTACTTCACATTTGGAGTTCAGAAGCTGAGAAAGTTAGCTCATGATTTTAAAATACCACTTCATGTCCATGCCTGAGAGGCCTTTAAGATTCACTTTGACAGCACTGGAATAGCATTACCCGAAATTGCCATCTACATCTTGTTAGACAAGAAATCTGCCAGGAGCAGATTTAACATTTGTGCTCCAGTGTCTACTTAGATGGCATAGTGAATAGAGTGCTGGGCCTGGAGTCAGGAAGATCTGAGTTCAAATGTGACCTCAGATCCTTACTAGCTGTGCGACCTTGAGCAAGTCACTTTACCCTGTTTGCCTCAGTTTCTTCATCTGTAAAGTAATCTGGAGAATGAAATGGCAAACTATTCCAGTATCTTTGCCAAGAAAACACCAAATGGGGTCATGAAGAGTTGGACAGGACTGAACGACAAAGTCTACTTAAGGTAAAGAGCTTAGGAAACTACTGGTGCCCAAAGGATGTTATGCAGGAGCTTCATTGAATATTTTCTTAACTGGAAGAGACATCTGCTCCTGGCACATGTAGGACAGGTGACTGCCCTAGTGTCCATCCACAGGCCCTGCAATTCTCCATATCAGAACCTCACTTATGTGGCTTCTACCACCTAAATGTAGGTTATATCCCCCTGTGAAAATGTAAGCACCTTGAGGGCAGGGAACATCTTTATTTTGTATTCTCAGTATCTAGCACTATGTGCCTGACACATAGTAGTTTCTTAAGAAATAAATGCTTATTAATTCATTCATTCCTTTGATCATTTATTCATTCATTCACTTCCTAAACAAGATGGATGCTAGGTCTGTCTCCTAATAATGATTGAATATCATACAGTGCCACCCAAAATAAAGACATTCTTCATCAATGTTTGTTTTTAACCAGCTTACCAGCTGCATTGGTGATAAATGTTCATGATCCAATTAATACATTTAATTTATTTTGTAAATATTTATTATAATTTTATTATTAAACACTTATTTTTTATAGTTTTGATGTTGTCTTTGTTCTTACACTACAATCACTTCCCTTTGATCCTCCTCCTCACCTCTGCATGGAACCAACCTTTGTAACAAATCAAACAATCAATAAAGCATTTATCCCAGGCATTGTGCTACAGTCTAGGGATACAAATACAGAAGTGAAAACAGTTCCTGCCTTCAAAGGACTTACAGTCTAACAAGGAAAAACATTTGAACCAAACCAACATCTGATGGCATCACCACATTCCACAACTACAGTCCCCTACATCTCTATTGAGGGCAGAGAGGCCATCCTTGGGCTTTCTGGTGATGCACTCCTGGAATCATTTTTTTTTTTTTTATGCTAGCACTGCTCTCAGGGTAGCCTGCTGTTTCTGTTCCAGTCTCTTCTCCAGTTTCCCCTCCCACGTCCCTGGTTCCAGAACCTTTTCCTCCAGACTGTCTTGCAAGCAGGAGCTTGTAGGCAGCTGCTCTGTACTTTTTTGAAATGAGATTGTAGAGGACAGGGTTGATGGATGCACTCAGATAGAAAAGCTGCAGAGCCACAATATTGAAGTACTGGGAGAACTGCATTGTCCTGGAATCCTTGGTGTTGATGTAAATGATCCTGCCAACATGAAAGGGCAACCAGCAAACTATAAATGCCAGAACCACCACCACTGCAAAGAGAAACAGACACACAAATTAACAAAGGCTCTTGCAACACAATTATACTTCTCTCAACATTCTTGGGATTTATCTGGGAGTAACCATTTGTTTCATGAGCAACAACAGAATAAACAAGAGAGAGATTTTTCTAACCCAACTTTCACCTACTGTATAAAGCCAACTTCAATACACATGAGCTTTAATTAGGGTCACCCACGGGGATGAGTAACATTTTAAAAATGTGATATCCAAAAAGGACAAAAGCTAGAACAAGTCACTTTGGCAACTTTAATTCCAAAAAAGCTTCTCAGGTATTATAAAGATGGTTACTTTACTAGGTATCCGATTAATAATGGAGCTGTACACCTTTGGAACCTTTAACATTTTACCTTGGCCTTTAGAGCAATTCACCATGTGGATAGACTGGGTTAGGGGTGGGGCTGGACTGAGGCATCATAGAACACTGAAATTATCTAGGGCAAAGCAAAACTAGATTAAAGATTCAGTTATTAATTATTCCATACTAGGCAGGAAGTAGCTCAAAAATGTAAGGATCATAGAGTTTGAGGGCACATCTGAAGTCATCTAGCCCTTCCCATTTTGCAGATAGGGAAACTGAGGCCCAGAGAGGTCAAGAAACTTGTGTAAATCACAGCAGTGGTGTTAGAAGCAGAATTCAAACTCGGGTCATCTGACTTCGAATTCAGCACCTTCCTCTGTGCTAAAATGCTTCTTGTTTGGAAATCTCACCTCTTATTTATATTCACATTTAACAAATACATGTTGTACTAAGTTCTGACAGTGCATCATAAGATCCTTAACCCCAAGGAGGCTACAATCTAGTGGGAGGAATTTAAAGAATAGACCCAAATAGCTGTAATACAAAGCAGAATGTGATAAATGCAGGAGAGGTAGAAACAAAATACTAGGCAAAATCTGAGGAGGGGGAGGTCTTTGGGGGGCGGAGGTGTGGGAAAGTCTTGATCTTGGCTTACCCAGAGCCAGAGATAGCTTTCTTGGGACCAGATAATAGGACCGAAGTAAAGATCCACTATAAGATAGTGGATCTGTCTTGGGACAGCGAAAGAAGGTTTCTGGGCAGTCTATAGTTTTTTTTGGGTTTTTTTGTGTATTTGTTTTGTTGTTGTTGTTTTCCAAAAACACCCATATCAAGACCCTAATTGGTCAAACAGGATGAAAGCTGCTTGGGGGCTAGGTTAGTTTTCTGGTTTTATTTGTTTTTAATCTTTGGTTACCACTTGCACAAGGTAGCTCTCAATAAAAGTATGTAGAGTTGAGCTGGGTTGATTTGGGGATACACATTGGAGGGTTGAATGTGTATGCGAAGGAGAAGAGAAAGGAAGTAGGAGAAAAAGAAGGGAGAAGATGAAAGAAGAGGAAGAAAAAGAAAGGAAGAGAGAAGAGGAAAAAAGAAAAGGAAGGAGAGAAAGAGGGAAAAAAGGAGTCAGAACAAAGAAAAAGGGAGACAGATAGGAGGAAGAAGCGAGCCTCGAGGAGTAAAGGGAGGACGAGCAGTAGGCTTCCCACCTTTCTCCCGACGCCCGCTTCCTCCGAACTCTTCCCTTACCCAGGACCCGCACGGTCTGCCGATGGTCCTTCTCCCGGCCCGTGGTTGCTGGCCCCCGCAGCGGAGCCCCGCTTCTCCACAGCGCCCGCCCGATCAGTCCGTAAAGGACACTGAGGCAGAGCATGGGCAAGAAGAAGTAGGCGGTGGTGACCCAGAGCATGACGCGCAGGACGCCCAGATGCTCCCGGCTTGGCCGGCACTCCCGGCTGAACAGCACTGCCGCCGCCGCCGCGCTCCCCGATGGAGCGGACTGGGAGGGCGTCCCGGCGGAGGGCCGGGCAATCAGCTGAGTGGTCTCCGAGGGCAAGGAGAGAGGGGCGGCAGGCCAAGTGCCATTGGCAGCCAGCGTCCCGCCCTTCACTCGGTGGGGGGCCGGGTCCTGCTCGACGCCCACTAGAAAGAAGAAGGGGCCGGCAGAGAGCAGCGCTACGACCCAGAGCGCTGCAATGAGTGCTCGCACGCGGCGGCGGGTGATGAGGACGCGGGCGCGCAGAGGAAAGCAGATGGCCAGGTAGCGCTCCACGCTTAGCGCCGTGATGTGCAGCAGGCTGGCGTAGGTGCAGCCCTCGCTTAGGTAGTGCGAGAGGCGGCAGAGCAGCTGCCCGAAGACCCACGGTCGGGAGCGCCACAGGCGGTACAGGTCGAAGGGGAGGCCGAGCAGGATGAGCAGGTCGGACACGGCCATGCTGCCCAGGTACAGGTTGGTGGTGGTTCGCATGTCCCGGTAGCGCCGGATCAGCAGCACAGTCACCACGTTGCCGCTCACCCCGACGGCAAACAAGCTGAGGCACACGACCGTCACGGGCACCAGAGCGCCCAGGGGGAAGGGAGAGCAGCGGCTCTCGTCGCAGCGGGGCAGGGACCACGGCCGGGTCTCCGGGGCTGCGCCATCGGTGCTGTCGCTGCTGCTGCTGCTGTTCCAGGGGCTACCCATGACCGCTGAAGGGCAAGCGGGCTGGCTGGGGGACTTTAGCGCATTCTGCAGGGGCCCCTATCCATGAGCGAGTGTTCCTCCCTTCTCGCCTCCTCGTAAAGAGTTAGGAGACTGTGGAATAACGAGAGAGGGCAGATGCTTTGGCCACCCTTCACTGCGCGGGTCTCAGGCACTGCCACGGCTGGTGGAGACCAACCTAAGCCTCTTCTAACCTGACCCTGCAGTCTCCGCCTCTTTCTCCTGCCCATTTCGCGCTCCCCGGTGTCTGCTTCCCGGCAGACCCTGGGACACTTGGCCTTCATCTCTCTCCACTTGCGACATGGAAGGGCAGATGCTCTTGCTGCCTCTTGGGAAGAGATTTTTGAACCATAATGAAGTTACATCAATGGGCGCACGGAACAGCATTTGTCAGGGGAGGAGAAAAAGAGACCAACCAATGAAGTACTGCGCGCTCAGTGCCTTCGGCATAATTTCTTTAAAATGATGTTAGCTTTGAGCTCACCTCAGTGCAACATAATGTTTGGTGTGGGAGAAAGGAGCATTGGACCGGGAGTCAAAGAGAGCTGGGATTCTTGTCCCGGGTCTGATAACCAAGGTCTTTTAACTTGGGTCTCAGTTGTAAAACGAAGAAGTTAGACTAGAAAGTCGAGTTAACCTTTCAGCATTACTGTCCTATGAACCATACTACCCTCCTTATCTCCTCAGTGAAACAGAACAAAACTTAAATATAATTTATTATATACGCAATATTAATATCTATGTGTTGTTCAGTTCTCTTCGTGTTCCTGTGGGCATACCAGTCCGTCCGTGGGGTTTTCTTGGCAAAGATACTGTAGTGGTTTGCCATTTCTTTCTCCAGTGGATTAAGGCAAACAGAAGTTAAGTGATTTGCCCAGGGTCACACAGATAGTAAATGTCTGAGACTGGATTTGAACTAGGGTCTTCCTGACTGCCCCTTTATCCACTGAGTTACCTAACTGCCTCTGTGTACATATACATAATTATTTTATAATTTGCAGTCAGACCGCTGATTAACATTGAGAAACCCAATCCCTTCCGAAAAGTTCCTTGGCTCTGTAATGTGCTTACTACCTATTGGTATGTGTACTGCCTTGAATTATTTTTAAAAATTAACGCCTTTTATTTCTAAATGACATTTATTTTCCTTCCCTGCCTGTTGAACCTTCTCAAGTACTGTGATTTAACAAAAAGCACCACCACCAAGTTAAGCCACACTCACCAACATATTACTTGAGTCTGACCCTATTTGGTCTCCATACCCATCAATCAATTAACTTACTAAAGGAAATGCCTCTTATGTGGCTGGCTCTGTGAAAAGCCCTGGGGATAAAAAACCAAAGATCAGCCGGTCTCTTAGTCGAGAATTTTTATTCTCTATCATGTGAGACAATGTGTATGTATATTTTTATGTAAAGAAAATACATAAAACTTCGTCTTGGGAGTGAGAGGGCACTAGCTGCTTGGGTCCAGGTGGAGGAGTTCAGGAAAGGCTTCACCTAGGAGTGGTCCTTAAGCTGAGTCTTAAAGAAAGAAAGGGATTTTAAGAAGTAGAGGCGAGGGGGACGTGCGTCATAGGCATGAGGGACATGCCAGGAAAAAAGGTAAGGAGATAGAAGATGAAGTGCCATACGTGAAGGACAGCAGGAAGGCCAGTTTGGATGGCCTGAGGAGCATAAGAAGAGGAGTAATGTAGGCTCCGTTCAGGTTTAAGGGCTTTAAATGCCAATCAGAAATTTATATTTTTCCTACAATCAATTTTCCTATAAGAGAACCATTGGAGTTTGTAGAATAGGAGAGTGATATAGTCAACCTGTATTTAAAGAAATCCCTTTGCCATCCTTATGGAGTGTGGCTTGTGGAGGAGAAAGACTGGAGGCAGGGAGACCAGTTAGGAGTGAACAGAGTGCTGGATCTGAAGTCAGGAAGTCTTGAGTGAAATTCTGCTTCAGATACTAGCCATGTAATCTTGGGCAAGTGACTTAACTGCTGCCTGCCTCAGTTTCCTCAGGTGTCATAATAGCACCTACCTCCCAGAGTTGTGAGGATCAAATGAGATATTTGTAGAACACTTAGAATAGTGCCTGGCACATACTAGGCACTTAATAAATACTTGTTTCCTTCCTATTGCAATGGTTCAGCAATGGGTTCTTACTGGTACACAGCAGAACTGTTACTCTTTACTGATTGTTTCTCTATCAATTCCTCATAGCAACTGTTCCAAATCTCTTTTCAAGTGACCTGTGCTATTCCTAATGAATTTATTAACTACTTACCATGTGCCAAGCACTGGGTATACAAGTACAAGGAAGCAAGACAGTCCCTGCCTTCAAGGCCAACATTCTAATGGGGGAATACAACTTTTAAAGGGATGATCATGGCTGGAGCCCCTCTTGAAATAGTGTTTGGTGCAGTCACCAATCAGGACAGGGGCCTCAGGGTGGAGATTTCTCCACGATGGCCAGGTAGTTGGTGAACCTCTCTCTTTAAATTTCAGTCCCTCTTTTTCCACCAACTCCAAATCCATCCTTGAAACACCTTCATGTAACTCTGCCATTCCTTCAATCTCTTGTCCCTTCTCTCTTTCCTTTCACAGTCAAATGAAGAGAAAAAACCATGTACAGTTGTTGCCTTCCCTTTTTCATGTCCCACTTGCTTCTTAACCTCTTGTGGTCTGGCTTGTGACACCAGTCAAATGAACAATTACTTCTAACTTTGCCAAAGATCTCTTAGCTTGTTCACCCAGTGGTCATTGATCAATTCTCGTGCTCAACTTCTCTGCAGTATTTTATTCCATTGACCATTCTCTCTTTTTGGACACTTTCTTCCTCATGTTCTCCCACCCTGTTTGACCATTTTTCTCAGTCTCCTGTGCTGGATCAGCATCCTTGTCCACCCCCAATGTGTGGGTGTACAACAGGACTTTGTTTTGGGTCTTCTTCTCTCTATATTTTCTTTCTTGGTGATCTTATCAATTTCCATGGGTTCAATGATCACGTCTATGTAGATGACTCCAAAATCTCCCTCAGACTCTTTTTCTCTCTTGAACTCTGCTCACCCACCATGAACTACCCGTTAGACATCTCCCTCTGGATGCCCCAGAGCCACCTCAAATTCAGTGTGTCCAAAATGGACATTATCTTTCCCCTATTGTGTTTCCTTTATTGTCTTTTTTCTATGGAGAGCACCACCATCCTTTCTAGGCACCCAGGTGTATGTTCTCATCAATCTGTGAAGCCAGCACTTTTGTTGAGAAAGGCTGATGGTTAAGTGCTCCTCAGAGCAGCATGCTTCTAGGCCCTTGGACTGTCATCATTGTTCCCTTATCTCCACCTTCAGAAGTTCACATGCATTCCCACATCTGATCTTGCCAGCCTCTGCATGCCCAGTGTGTCAGCCCAGGATTCTGATAGGGCCAATGGAGCCATTTCAGGAAGTCAGTGTACTGGCAAGGAGGCTAGGTCCCTGTGCCTCATTGTTATATTCCTTCGTGGAAGTCTTACTCCAGTACCTCATGAGGATGTGAAGATGTGGGATGCTGGAAGGTTTTGCCAGCAGAGTGCAAGCTTTGGCAGATCCTATCAAACTGGAAACTCCGATTACAAACCTGTCAACTAGACGTGTTTTGCTTACAGGAAAAAAAAAAGCAGCATTTACCAAGCTGGTTTTATTGCTCAGAGGATTGAATATAAGGTGGTGAATTTCTAAGGCAGTCAGTCAGCTAGCATTTATGAAAACACCTACTATATGCCAGGCAGTTGCAGCTAGGTGGTGCATGGCACCCAAGTGGTATATTGGATAGAATGCTTTGCAAGGACTAAGGAAGACCCGAGTTCAAATGTGGAGTCTGTAAGTTTCAGTGACTTGACCAGGATCACACAGCCAGTGTATGTCCAAGGTGGGACTTAAACCCAGGTCTTCCTGGCTCTAATGCCAGCTTTTTATCCAGGTTACCTCATGAGCTCTGAATACTAGATATAATTCCCTGTTTACTGAGTTCAGCATCTCTAGTAGGGGTTCCATTGTTGACTGATCCTTTGGATAATTGCTAGAAAACTTGGTCTTCATGTTTTGTTAAGGCCCCTTGACCCTAGAGAATTATCTTGTTTGGAAGGTCTCTTTCCTCGCTTCATTTCATCTCATCATTCTAATGCCTCCAAGAACACCACGTTTTTACAGTTATCTGTAATTTTTTAATCTTATGGCATCAGGAATACTCTCTGATAGGGCAACATTTGATACGATAGGGCAATGTGGGTATAGAATAATGTGGAGAAAAGCAGCGGGGTAGAATAGGCAAGAAAACATTGAAACACCCAAATAAATGGATGAATGAATGATTTTTTCATTCATTTATTCTCATTCATTTATAAATGGAGAGTAAATCAATCAAGAAGTATTTATAAAGCATCTACTATGTGCCAAGCACCATGTTGGGGATAAAAGTACAAAGAATGAAACATTGCCTACTTGCAATGAGTTTACATTTGAGTAACTACTCAGTGAAACACATCCTTTCTTCTGTATTCAATGGATTTGAAATTTCATGGGTATACTTATTTCCATGGGTACTCCCTTTACTTGAAGAGCTCGAAAGATGTACCTATCATCTTATCTTGTGCATTTCTTGTCCACATCTTTCTATAAATCCCCCTAGAGCATATCCATGCTACATGGGAGGCCTTCTCATTAGGCAGCTAGATTTCTAGACGAGGTGGACAATGGGCCTGGAGTCAGGAAGACCTGGTTCAAATCTAACCTGAGTCTTACTAGCCATAAGATTCTGGGCAACACACAACCTGTATGCCTCAGTTTCCTAATCTGTAAAAGGAGGCTGCTAATAGCACGTATCTTCCAGGGTTAAGAGATAAAATTTGTAAAGTGCTTTGTAAATCCTAAAGTGCTGCATAAATGCTAGCTAATGGTTATTATCAAATGTAACAGCTGGGCTTTGTATCTCTGTCCCTCACTTTTTCTACCTCCTTTTCTGGTGTAACCCTTGATTTGTTGTTGTTGTTTTTAACTAAGCTTTTAAAAATATTTTTTATTAATGTATTTTGATTTATCAACAATCACTTCCATAAGCTTTTGAGTTCAAAATTTT